CGACACAAGCAGCTCCCGTTAAATTTGAAACTTTTACTTTCCATTCACCGCCATTCAGCCAGTTTGGCATTATTCTATTTCTCCTGCTCTGAAATCAACTGTAAGTTAATCGCATTAATCCGCGATCGTCTTTCAAGTGGATACTCTGCGATCCTTTTGCCGTCGAATCATTCAGTTGGGAAATTACAAAAGGGTGCTGAGGGTAGGGAGAATGGTTCGCCATTCACTGCGATCATCAACTGTCAGAATTTGAGAGGCAGAGCTGCCACGATGGATATTTTATGTTAATTTTAAAGAGTACGTGGCGTATGCGTAATTCTGTGAGGACAGAATATATATTTTATATATTCAAAATATAATATGTTATTTATTGTAAGTTAAACTATTAATTATAAATATTATTATAACTCTTTAATTGCTAGAACTATTCTTGCAAATACGAAATCAAAGACTTGATTTTTAACAAAGTGACCTCATGTTTGTGAGTGAATTTCCAATATTTACTTTAAATGACTTATCTTATTCCCAAATATTGTACCTGTAACTCTGGCAATTTGTCTTGTTCTTTTATTGCCGCCTTCGGGCAGAACAAATTAAACCAAATTAAGCTGTCAATTTTGCAACGCTGCGCTGACCACACAATCGTATCAGATTCATCTGCTGTCCTTTAGGCTAACAACGCTTCTTGGCCATTGATTTTTCCGGCGAGAAGAATTCAATTCGCTCAGCAATCGTGGCTGGCTCGTTTCATCCTCCCTTCTCCCCCTCAAACAGTATCGTTCATCTATATTTGGCTGCCATTCCGCATCTGTGAGGATGCTAACTGCAAATTCCCCAACTCCCTTCCCTTCGCATCGATTCCTCCTGAAAATTGGTAATTTTATACGGTTGGCGGTGCCTGTGCTCGCTTGGTTGGTCCTGCTCGATAGCATTCTCTTGATTGTAAATAAACCAAAATAATTGTTTGAAATTAAAACGTTAATGCTATCAGCCATTGTGGTCTGCACTTGCCGGTTTTATTTCTAATTCGAGCAGGAGCAACGGGATCGGTAGAAACACTAAGAGTTGTTTCCATTTTATACCATTAAAAACATGCCGCTCGAAATCATATTTAACTGTTTAAATAGTAGTACGACTCTAATCAAATGTTGTAGAAAAAGAAATTACCGAAAAATATAATTTTTTGTCTGAGAATACCCAAAATTATAGTCTAAATAATGAAGAAAGTTTGGTGTGTTGCAAAACCTTCAAAAAAAACATTTTTCATATCAATGTGCGTCAATTATCTTTTATAACTTAAATTTCAAAGATTTTTATTTTTATTTGCTAAGCTCAAAAATCTAATTGCAATTTCAGAGCCCCCTCAATTCAATCCAGTTAAATTTATGCGCCCACCAATGACACTCAATCAACGAGGCAAAAAAAGATATGGCCGTTAGAAATAGGGAGTGGGAAGTTAGGTAAAATATCATACATAAGAAACGCACAAGAAAATCGGAATGTAAACGGAAACGGAAACTGTTGAACTGTTGAAATCATAAAATATTACCGTTCGCAATACAATTTATTTAAATCAAAGTCTAAAGCGTTATTTACGAGCACTGTGGGGTTGGATGGGTTCGTTTTGGGTTGGGAATCGAGGGTGTGAGAGGGTAGATCGATGGGTTTTGGGGGTTTGCGTGTGCTCTTTCATACTTCCATTTCCGCCATTGTTTGCATTCAGAAAGAAGACAAAAGCCAAGCCCCCAAAAGCGAAGGAAAAGCGCGTCACACAAATTTTGGCTGACTAATAGCCGCAAATAGCCGAAAGGATGGTAATGATGTGATGGGTGGTCAGCATAGCTATGCTTTGCTTGGGGGATTAAACAGAGAACCGGGGGACTACAACTCCATTTGCTTTTAACCATTCCATTCCATTCTCCACGTTTATTGTTTTGCCATGCTTTCTGCCTATTATACAAAATGCTACAACAGGCAGACAAAGGCCTTCCCCATTTGCCTAATGTGTTTGTGTGTGTATGAGTTGGAAAATCGAAATTCGGTAAATTTCAAAATTGATATGGAGTGTGTCTCGGGAGTTTAGCTGGAATAATGTTAGTTTTTGTTCGTCCACCTTCAATTGCCAAATTAATTGCAGTTAAGTCGAGCAAGCTAAACCCAGCTTGTATCTCCCTCTCTTTCCCTGTCCCTATTTCCCTCTCTTTCCCATCCAAACTTTGCTTCTGTGTGTGTGTGAATGTGCATCCTAAAGTGGAGTCAATGAAAATTGCAACTCCCACTTTGCTCGTACGTCAATTAGACCTCCTTCTCAGCCACTCTCTTCTGCTTTCTCCTTTCACACACACACACACTGCCACAGGCTCTTGGCTTTTCCTCTTCGCTCTCCTCCCCTCCCACTATTCCCATCTCTTTCCAGTGCAGCTTTAGCTCTTTTATTGCAGTGCAATTTGTTGTAGAAATCGTTTTGTCCGACAGTTGAACAGTTTGTTATTTCTTTTAAATGTTTCAAGCAAAAGAGCTTTTCCAAATTTTTGTGGCTTGCCTTGGTCAGCGGTCAGGCATTGGGATTAATGGGTTTTGCCATCTCATTTCCTCTATATTCTACATTACACGTAAAAAAAAACACTCACTATTAAGTTTTTGTTAATATTTATTTAAAAAGTGGTAAATAGAAAAAATTTACATATTTGTTATGTATTTATAAAAAGATCTTAATCCACAAATCTCTGCGATGCCGACCTTTTTAGGCTCCTATTGGAACACATATAGACTCTTCAATAGCAACAAAAATAGTATTAATTCATATTTAAAATATAATAGTAAATTTTTTTGTATAACCAAAGGTACACCCATTTCTTGCCGTTTTCCATTTGGCCAAATGAATGAAATCAAATCAGAGTTAAAATTTATTCTAAAACAGGGCGATATGCAAATGAAATCATCTGGAGGTGCTGTATGTACGCAATTTCCATTTGTGAATTGAGATTGGAATGAAAGTGGGGCAGCGCCTAAGTGTCACTTTTTTTGAAACCGTCTACGTTGCCGCAATTTGCCCAATTCCCCACTCCATTGTGCTTTGAATATGCCCCAAACCCCAAGGATTTTGTATACCCCCAAAACCCACTCTAAAGTCTTACACGAAAACGAATCAAAAACAAGCAATGCACAGAGGGAAATTACGGAAAAATGTGTTACGGACGCAGGTGATGGCTCTCCACACACACTTACACACCTCTGGCGAAAAATAGGGGGTGGTGTGTGGAAAACAGGGGATGGTGGGGCCGGAGGTGGTGCCTCGCCCTCACCACTTGGCGACGCACTTTGGCAAAAGCAATCTTCTAAACAGGATAAATGTAATTGCGCATGAATTTCTACGCATATTTCGACGTCGCTGTCTGAGCTGCAAATGTTTGTTACCCATTTGTTTGTTTTTTTATTTGCCTCGTCTCTGCCGTTGCTGAAACTCGTTCTCCGGCGTTTCAGGAGCGGCCACCCCATTGGCCCTCCGCTGGCCACGCCCCCAAAGAGAGTGTCTCTCTCGAACGGTCTTGCCATCTCTCTCTCGGCGGGTAATTGACTCGCATAATGTTTGTTTTGTTTCGACCAAATCGTTTGCAACACTCTTTGAATGCCTCGTGGTTGTCTCATAAAAAGCGAAAGCATTTAAAAATTCAATTTGCCCTCTCTCTCTCTCTCTCTGTCTCTCTCTGCAAAGTTTGCAGAGTAACTTGGCAAAAATGGCCGCCTGTTCCCAGTGCTTAGGGGAGGTTTTCTCTTTGGGGAGCGGAACGTTGCGGAATGGAACGATCTATAAGGTATAAAACTCTGAAGGTTTGCAACGAAAAAAGGGAATAAAATACATTTGAGTCTTGGAGTTATGCTGGGTAGACGATGGTTATAAGAATTCATTTTATTTATTTTTTTTATTAAATACCCCATGAACATAATATAAATTAATTTTATTTAATTTATTAAATACCTTATGAACCATTTAAAGATAATCGAAATATTTTTATTTATTATCATTTATGATTTTTAACAATCGTGTTGGTGTGAAAAAGTATACTTTTCAATTGTATATGCAATTTTACTAATTACTAAATTGTTTAAATAATTAGCATAGATCTTAAAATTTTTAAAGCTATACAGAGATTCTTTATATTTCTAAAATATATTGTTTGTTCTACATATTATATTCCTTATATTATGTTAAAAAACATTTAGTTTTAACATCTCAACCAAACCTTTTTAAATTTTTAGTAACATTTTAAAATGTAATAACTCAATATAGTTTCCATTTAACCTTCTCACCAAAGGGTTTTACATCAAATTTCAACCGCACAGACTGCTAGCCGCAAAGTTGCAATCAAGTGCTACATTTTCACCAATAGTTTTCTGTACGAAAAAGTTTGCATCTGGCTGGCTGCTAAATTTCAATGGCGCCACAGAGCAACACTTGACCCCCTGTTAGGTGGCAATTGATTGATTTTATATTGGCATTTCAATAGACACCAGCCGAGCGAAGCGATTCGAAACGATTTTGCGAGTCGAGCCGAGTGGCGGTGAGTGCGCCCCCACTTCAGATGAGTTCCAAATGCCAAGTGTTTCCCGTCCGGGGATGTAAAACTCCCCTAGTCTACCGCCGCAAAAAAAAAGGAAAACGAATGAGCAAAATCCGAAAAGTGTCTGTCGGTGCGGTTGCAGTGCAATTGTCGAAATAAACGGAATAAAATTCCAAACTGCAAATGGAACGGAAAAGAGCTGCCAGAAAGGGAGGGCACACCAGGCGGCGAAAGAGAGAGAACTATCGCTGCAGAGAGAGAGAAAGAGAGAGCGAGAGAGAAAGGGAGAGAGTGGGACACACCCTCCCAAGAGGGGTAGAAATGAGGTAGGTGTGTGTGTGAGCTCGAGAGTGTGGAAAACCATTTAGCGCAAAGACCAAAAGAATTTGCAGGGCTGCCAGCCAACCACCTCAGTCTCAATTTCAGTTCCACGCTCTCCGGACACGAGACCGGGGGTTAAAAATCCAGAGACTGAAACAATAAAAACACTAAACGATCGCTTTCCCACACACACAAACACACACTCACACAGAAACACAAAGGACGAAGGATTCGGCACTCAGCAGTCAGCAATCCGGCGAGGACTTGTGCGTCTGTTAACATCCGCATTTGAATTTAAATGCGAAACGTTGATCAAACGGTGCAGACGTGTTTCTCCCAACGGTAGCGCTCGGCGTTTTTCCCTAACGAGTTTTTCATGCCACGCATCGCATCAAGTGAAGAAAGTTGTACAAATTTTATACTGAATAATAACAAGATAAACGCAGAAGTGAAAACTAAAGAACAAAAGTGCTGAAATAAATATAAGAACTTGCCAAAGCAAAAACAGAAAAGGAAATCATAAGCCATGTCTTCCTCCGAGGCCGAAGTTGACATCAGTGTGGTCTCCAGTCCGGAGCCGAGTCCTTTGGGCGCCGCCGTCCGCGACAGTCCGCTGCTGGCCCGCTCGCCGGCCCGCTCCGCCGACGGCAGTTCGCCGCCCGCCACGCCCACGCATCGCTCCAACACGCCCAACACGGCCGCCGGCACGCCTACCACCTCCGCATCGGGCGGCAATCACTTCCACCACAGTCCCAGCGGAGGAGCCGTGCCGCCGGCGGTGCTGCACCACCATCTGCAGCACCACCTGAGCACCCTGGGCGGCCATCCGGTGACCCTGCATCATGCGCTCCACACCTTTGGCCACTTGCATCCCGCCCACGGGGCCACGCATCCCGCCCTGCTGCAACACGCCCTCACGCCCACCAGCCAGCAGCAGCAGCACCAGCAACAGCACCAGCAACAGCAACAGCAACAGTTGCATGCCCAGCAGCAACATCAGTCGCACGTCGAGCGCCTGAGCCCGCCGCCCAAAAGTCCGGAGCGGAATAGCGGCGAAGAGGTGCAGGGCCACCTCAGCCTCAACAACAACAACAGCAAGGCCCTCAATCACAACAACACTTGCGCCTCCGCGGCTGCAGCAGCAGCGGTGGCGGCGGCCAACCTGAGCAACAACAGCAACGATAGCAACGGAAGCAGCGGGGGCGGCGGCAAGGGCACCACCGGATCGAACGGCTTCACCAGCTTCTCCATCTCCAGCATCCTGAGTCGCAGCGAACCGGCCAAGAAGAACGGCGCCGCCGGCTTGATAACACCCATTCCGCAGTTGCCGCAACCAGGATCCGGCGGACCACAGGATGCAGCCATGCTGTCCAGGTGAGCTAATGTGTTCCTTGGTATCACAGAGGGGCAAAGGCAACTACTTAAATCAAGACTAGGTTTTTTATTCATTTATTATGAATTTTAAACTTGAGAAATATAAATATATTCAGAATTTAATGCTAAAATCAGTCTCTCGTGACATATTATATTTATTGAAATCGTTATAGCTTCCAATTACTTATTTTGTTATGTTGCAGGTTATTTTAGCCATTTTAGTACTTTTCCCATCCCTTAGAGTGTTTACTTCTTTAAAACCGTAATGTGCTCTGAAAATTATTATTTTTTGGTATTCATTGGATAAAAAGCTTAACTGCCTGCAATAAACAATGAATAAATATAATTGTTTATTTTTAAAAAACTCGATGCTGCCAATGCAACTTATTGTTCGTCTCATTTTTATTGAACATTTTGAAAATTTTAATGATTTAATTACCTTAGTTTAATTTGCTTTTTAAGAATCTTAAATTAAAGTTTTTGTATAACCATGTTACTTTTAACATCATAAACATAATAGGGTTTATGTTAAGGGCCTATCTTAACAGGCATTCTTTTGTGAAAATACATTCTCACCCATTTTGTGCGCAGTGTATGCGACCTAGATTAAAACGTTTGCTGGCAAGCTGAAACCAAAAAGTCAAGCCTTCCCTCAATGAGCGAGCCCAAAGAGGCTGCCATTCCACTTGTTCGTTCTCAGGCTGGGCCAATTTTATATAATCGTCCTAGGGGAAGACAAAGGAAGGTGACACAAATCTCTTCGCAGGAAATACACAAAGAGATGAGAGGGACGGACAAAGTAGCCGGGAGATGGTCCATAAGACCGAAAATTGTTGGGCAAACGTTACACGAGACGTTAAGTGGGTGAAGATGCAAATGGCTAAAGTACCGGTCCTTTGTCCCTAACGATTCCAGACAGATAAGGCCGATGGAACAGTGTTTAGTTGCATTGGGCACTAGCTGACCTCGAAATAATGCAGAAAAATGCCTAACTGCTTGAACTTATCATTTTTCGTCCGGCAATTTGGTCAGCCTATCGAGTTACATAACATTTGCCAGTTGTAATTCAATGCACCGTTTCGGGAACGAAAGTAACTGACTGACTGCCTGATTGACGGACTGACAATGCTCCAGTATCGTATGCAAAACGATGAATGAACCCTCAGACCCTCCAAACTGACCCATAAAACAGGAACGTTCTTACAGCTGTTTGTCCTGCGAATGCAACCTATTGATACAAAATACATGCACTGGGAAAAAATTAAATTCATATGTATATTTAAATATTCTTTTAGCAATGATGGTGAAAAATATTTTTTCTTAAGTAAATCCATATAGCTAATTACAATTTGAACGATTTAGATGCTATCAATTGTATATCCAATTTTTTAAATCAGTTTAAAACTTATACTATTCTGCGATTCTTTAAAAAATTAATTATGAAATGAGTTATCTACAAAGATTATTTGTAATTAAAATGAATATGATGTTTTTTGTACATTTCATATCATACACGTTGGCATATTAACCCCACTTAGCCGGCTTTTAAAATGCTGCATACGGAATGAGCGATCGAATTTCCAGCCAGCTCGATTAACGCATGTGTTGAATTAAAAAACAACGAAGAGAATTTATAAGTTGCACTTTTATTTTGTGAGAGGGAACGTGGACTCCCCCAGACGTTTTGGACCTCTGCATTTTTTTAATAATGATCATTTTCATTTCATTTACGCGTGCCCACACCGCTGATCGCCTCGATAAGGGAAGTTAGTCAGGTTGTCCGAGGGTCGCCACTGTCCCTATCTACTCGGAGTGCCAGTGGTCCCGTGCCCCTTGCGTGGCTACCCCAATTAAGGACCTCGTCCTCGGGGAAGTGTCGCCTCCTGCTGCTTGGCGCTTGCCCAGCTGACGTGTGGCTGCCTATGTGACTGCTTTATCAGTTGATCATCGGGTGGAATGATTAATGCCACGGGGTATACAAATATTGCTGAGTGATCGTTTAATAGTTTGAGCCAACTTTCTACCCGAGCTCGGCTTATTTTGACAGTTGCGCTTACGTTTTTAATTAGTCGCTGGGCTTTCTCCTCAGTCTGTACTTAATTACGATTCCGTTGGTCGAGGGGATTTCGACAAAAAAAAACGCTGGAGAGCAGGAAAAAACCATTCAAAAGGTGTAACTCGATACGCTTGTGAGTGGACTGAAAACAATGGGACGGCGAACGGAAAGGGTGCTCCTGCATTGTCCTTTTCTCCCAGGATGACGCAAAAAGCAGACGATGACATTATAATTACACACACACACACACACACACACACCACTCACCGAGAGAGCTATATAAACGCAGAAGTAATTACAATCCAATTGCAATCGCAATTGAGGACCTAACCAATCCCATCTGTATCTGATTCCGTCGCTGAGGGGATTAGTGTTTAGTGGTGAAATGCCTTTGCTTCCTTATCGCGATGGTGTGCCGGGAATTTCTATGGTCGCAATTTAATCAAAACATATTCCGCAGACCATCAGTTGCATCCAATCTGAATCTGAGGCTTGACTTTTCCTCTGTTCTCTGTTCAGTGGTCACGTGTCATTTGGCGGGGCTTCCCATGGTGGTAAATCGTCAAAAAAGAAGAGAAAAACTAATATCATGCTCTTCACAAATGTCACCATTTTTGGTTATTTCAGAACTGTATTTCAGAACTGTGGGACACATCCTAAGCCGCTCCCCAGGCCCTGAAATATTGCTAATAATCCGGTTTAATGACAAAAGCAAAGCAAAGCAAAGCCTCTGCCCATTCAAGTGTTTAATATTTTGCCTACTCTTGCGGCCAGGTCGAGAACCCCTCGAAAACCCGCACCGCTAAATGTCAACAATGTAAAATATATACATACTCCCGGGTGTGAGGGGCAACCCGACAGTCCCGCACGGGATGGACCAATTAGCGTGAGCAAATCTTTTATGCATGAGCGATTCCTAAGCGGTTTTAGCGCTCACAGATCACTAGGTCTCCCATTTAAATATATTTATTTAAATCAATTTCGGTAATGCGACAATTGTCGAAAGAAAAGTGCGGGTAATGCCATTTGAATTGGTTAATTCCAGCCATTGCCGTAATTTGCTTAACTTAACCCCAGCCATTCAGTCACATTACTTTGAACTTTGCTTAGATCTCGGCACAAAGAAAACCCCACTCATAGCTCGGGGGGACATCAAAGCAGAGACAAAGTCCCCAAAACCCAGACCCAACCAGTAACCGATGTCGAACGCCATGTTAAACAACTCAATTGCATAGCCCACTTTTATCCCTCGGACAAAAGGGATCGCAAGACGAGAAATTATGATGGGTGAGCCAGGGAAAGGAGCCCAAAGCGAGAACCGCAAACAATTCATTAAAAGCTGAATAACAAATGCATCAACCCCCCCATTTCCCAAACATTTGACAGCCGGCGGGGGGTGATTTGGGGCCCGGTTACACGGTTCCACGGTTCATGGCTCTACGGTTCTACGAGGGTCTCAAAATGGGCCAGGCTCGCACCCACTTTTAAAACATGGCCGTCCGCTTCCGCCGCAGAATGACACCAACGAAAATGGGCGTGGAAATGAATACCCAGCTGTCCGCGGCTTGCCGTGGGCAAATTTGTTTTGTACTTATTTCATTATCCGCGCCGAGCTCTTGATTTGCGTAATTAGTCGAGCAAATAGCTACAAGCTTTTGTTTTGATTTTTCATGTCGACCATCGTCGTGCAGAATTAGCTCCAGTAATTGAGGTAATTCCTTTTGTCCTTTCACGTCTTGCCCGAGGAGCTGTGATGATGCGTACACTTTGGGGAAAGCTTATGTTTTTTTCTTGGCTTATAATATAATATTAACTTTATATATTTTGGTTGGATCTTATGACCTTTGTTTTTAAGTCAATTTTGTGATTTGGTTACAATAAGTCAATACATTGCTTCCATGATTTTTAAAATTAAATGTACAGATAATTACATGGCCAATACGCTTTCTACAAAATTTTTTTAAACTATCCACTTTAGACTTTAGAAAAACGAATTTTTTTTTTCAATCAATACCAAAATCTTGATTTTAGCCCTTATTTTTTCCGGCGTGTTCGTAATTTGAGAGGAGCTCTGCCTATTTTCGTCTTTCTGCGGCTTTTTGGGGTTTGGCTTCTGGCTGCCTCCGGACTAGTCGAAAGCCAAAGCGGCTTTCTCTCAATTGCCGCTGTAAACATGAAGCCCATTAGAAGTGATTTGAGCTGGCAACTTGGGGAAGCCCCTAAAGAGTCCTCCTCATAATTTTCCGGGCCGGGCTGAAAGTAAACTTAATTGAAAATCATTACTGCTGGCAAGTGGGAAATGGAAGTGGGGATCGGGGCAGAGAGCGATAGTGGCTTTCGCCCACCTGGCTATTGATTTCCACACCTGATGCACCCTTGGCCGCAGCGAAAGAGGTCAACTAAATGTTAATGTCACATACACACACGAACACACAGTGTCTGTCTGGGGGGTTTGGGTTGCAGTTGCACCCTCGAAAAGAAATCACAGTCCGAGCACAGGTCACCTGCCCAAAGGGTCAAAGTTTGTGGGGGAAGCTTAGCCCGCCCAACTGGCCGGTAAAAGCGAAATGCGAAAGCAAAACGAGCTCAAGGGGTAGGCACTTTAGTGTACAATTCCAAGCCGTATATTGCGATCTGGCATTTTAGAACGGTGAGAATGCTTTTCGTGCGGCTTACATTTAACACAAAAGTTCAGTGGGTGCGTGGGAAGCTTAAGAAGGGTAAGTAAAAAAAACCAATGAATCAATCAGAATCGAGAGACAAAAGCAACTTTGGCCAATTACATTTGGACGGTTTTGACATGTCACTAAAAAGAGACCTGCCTAAACCCACCCCAAATAACTGAACTTCCCCGTGCGAATATAGGACGCATTATAATGAAAAGTGTTTCGTCTTGCCAGCATAAATAAATCAAATGTATTTATAAAAGATGCTTTTAAGCCAGTAAGTTAACAAGGTTACACACTCGCACACAGAGAGAAAAATGCAAGCTTACATCTTTATTACATTCTTCATTTATAAATGATTTGTTCGATGTAAATTCAACTAGAAACTTAGGTTACCCAACAATTTTTTTTCATTTGAATTGAAGACTATTATTATTATAAAATTGAATTTTAATTTGAATATAATTACGATATTGGTTGCATTTCTTATGAATTCTCGCATTACTTTAATTTTCTCAGAGCCTGATCCTTTGCTTTTTCAGTGCACATTTGTATATACATGTACATATATTCAGCAGGGAGGGTTGAATGGGCCAAATTCTTAACAGCTGTTGTCAGTTATGGGGTTGTTAAGGGTCTCCAGCCTCCTTGATTTTGTGCCTCCTGCCCCTCCGGCGAACTTTGATGCTTCAACTTTCTTGGGCTGAACAACTTTTGGCCGTCGGCAAAATGGCAAATGCCTAATGGCCTCTTAAGTTCGGCCCGCATCTAGGATGGGGTATTTTTCGCGTCTTGATTTTCGGGCAATAATCAAAATGCATAATTGATGGCGTTATTTTTCCCTCTTTTCCCCTTGCAGGCTGGGCTTCATCTCGCAGTGGGGAGCGTTGGCGGGTCGTTACGCCGCCCTGTGTCCGCCCGGATGGCCCTGGGCCCCCCAGCGACTGCCCTTCCACAGTCCCACCCATGGTAAGTTGATTAAAAACAGCCAACGGAGTTACCGACTTTCCCCCCATTCGAATTAAGACGACTCAACTGAACTATACTGAGCACATGCCACAGCGGCTTAGCACTCGTTGCATCCGCCTTTTTATTTAAGCCAGGAATGTGATGTGTCAGGCATTCCTCACACTACACTAGACGAAATAAAAAAACATTTTTAAATGTGTCAGCTTAGTTAATTTCTTTGTGTTTTTTTTTTTTGTTTAAGGATAAAGTCAATTTAGATTGATTTGAAAATTAAAAAGGTACTACTCATTACAACCAAAATGCGTTACATGTTTACTTTCAGATTTACAGAATTAAAACACAACCTTTTTGGGTAGAAATACTTATGTTTTACTATCTAAAACTAACTTGCGAACTTTTTTTTTTTGTTTTGTTTTGCCAAAAATAATTATTTAGTTTCAAAGATTTTTTGTGAGTGCTTTGGTATTCCGTTGCATTCGATTCAAAGTTAAGTTGTTTTGTCGACGGCGGCGACTAATGCCTCAAAGAATTTCGCCCCAGAAGCAGACTACGCAAATGTCTTAAGCTCTCACCCACACAGGCATGGAATGGAAGCCAAGTGAGACGACTGCTTAAATCGTCATTGGCAATTAATTGCAAATTGTAATCGAGTATCGAGTTACGGACAAAGCCTTTGACATGCTTCACAGTAGAGTAAAATAGCAACTGCAACTGCAAAAGCAACATCGGGGAATGCAGTTTAAGCCCGTTTAATTGGCCCCATTGGCATTAAGAGTCGTTGCAATTGCATTTGTTCATGTAAATTGGCCTTAAGTTCTTCACCTTCTCTGCCACCCCAACTACCACCGCATCCAATGTATATCTATCCTTACGGATTGAAAGTTTTCCAGCCAGCTTGCTATTAAGAGATTTATTTTTTTTTGCTGCTCGAAATCCATTCAAGGCAAATTACGGCAATTTAAACTTTTCAAATGAGATCAAAACTAAAAGCTTCGATAAAAAGAAAATCGGCCAAGCTGACTGACAGCCATTTTAAATGGTAATTTAATGCGCAGACAGAGCAGGGATTGCTATGCCATATTATGCCATCAGAATGAGTATATATATACGTATGTACATGCTCTCGGCGTCTGCGCTTTAGGAACCCACAGCAATCACGAATGACACAAAAAATAAAAACGCTGAGGCGACAAGTGTGAGGTTAAGTGTTGCAGCTTAAATCTCTGCACACAGATACGTGTACGGGTACAGAGATACAGTATCTTGGAGCAGCAACCCTTAGGAGCAACCACCTCGAAGGCCACCCACAACAACCCACCACCCGCCATCCGCCACCCACCGAAACACCACCCAACGAGACTGACAAATCAACTAACACAATTTAAGCTCTCTGCCCGTTTCCCTCTCATTTTCTAAATGGTTTCTCTCCGCTTTTTCTCTCTCTCTTCTTGCAGACAGTTCCTCCACGAACACGACCGAGAATCCCCCATCGCCCACTTCCATGAGCCCGAATAACAACAACAACAACAGCAACACCACTGCCAACTCGAACCAGGCCAGCAAGTCGCCCCTCCACCCTCTGTACCACCCCCTCAATCCGCAACAGCAGCAGCAGCAACAGCAACACCAGCAGCAACAGCATCCACAACAGCAACAGCATCCACAGCAGCAGCAGCAGCATCCACATCAGCCCACCACGCCCACCAGCAGCAGCAGCAGCGGCGGCGGCAGCAGCCTGGCCCACCACTCGCATCCGCATTTGGGCGGCTCACACGGCGGCTACTTGCTGCCCAGCAGCTCCAACGAATCGGACGAGGAGGGTGAGGAGATCATCGAGGAGGACGACGGCACGGACGGACCCTCCGACAGCTCCTCGCCGCACGGCGAGGGCAACTCGAAGCGCAAGAAGAAGACCCGGACGGTGTTCTCGCGGGCCCAGGTCTTCCAGCTGGAGTCGACCTTTGACCTGAAGCGGTACCTAAGCTCCTCGGAGCGAGCGGGTCTGGCTGCCTCCCTGCGGCTGACCGAGACGCAGGTGAAGATCTGGTTCCAGAATCGTCGCAACAAGTGGAAGCGCCAGTTGGCCGCCGAACTGGAGGCAGCCAATATGGCCAACATGGCCCATGCGGCCCAGCGACTGGTGCGGGTGCCGGTGCTCTACCACGATGGCACCACGGCGGGATTTGTGCCGCCGCCGCCGCCGCACCACCATCCAATGCAGTATTATGCGGCGGCACGCAACACCAGCCCCCCGCGACCGCCCCTCTCGTCGCTGGTATAGGGCGTGGGGTGCCTGGCGGCGCCCATGTCGCTGCTGAAGCCGCCCACCGCCATGCCACACCCACATCCGCCCCAGCCGCCGCTCACGCAACGCACCTTCCTGACCTGCGACACCATGATGGAGGCGGACATGGACTCCGATTCGGAGCAGGAGCGAACCCATCTCGACGACGAGGATGCCGCCATCGATGTGGAGGCGGATGAGGAGCAGGAATCCGCATCGCCAGTCCGCTCGGCCACGCCCCCGAAGGGCAGCCTTTGCCTGGAAAGCAAGGAGCATGCTGGCCAGCACAAGGAGGTCACCGCTGCCGCCGTGGACAAGTCGGCGAACCAAAAGGCCTACTGAGCCAGATCCAACCAAGTGGCTGCACGGAGAAAAAATTGCCGTACCTTTGTGTAGTACATTTTGGAAATAAGAGTGGAAATCTGGAAAGAACATGATCCATTTGGCAATAATTTGATGGTTATAATATGTAAACATTCCAAGAACATGGCATTCCGTGCAAGACCACATCAATGGGTTTCAAGTTTTTAAAATAGTTTGTTCCTAGAAAACCCCCTGTAAATACCCACAACTCAAGCTCCTTGTAAATTTAAATGTCTCTTGCTCAATAAGTTTAGGCTTTAGAAAACCCCACGCCATGTACATACACATAGATAACAAGTGGATAGTGTGGGTGGTTGCATCACTTTTCGTATCGTTTTTGTTTGGCTTTTGAATCTTTAAATTGCTGGTCAAGTGTAAGTTAAGTTCGATATGCTAAGCCGAGCTCCCCGAGGACCAAGGCAATCGATGTTAGTTTAGTGCTTACGATAAGTCGTAAGATGTGTGTCAAGCAATTACCAAATAATTAGTTAAATTATTTATACTTTTAATCGAATGTTGACATAATCCAAACTTCAACTTAAAACCAAACCAAACTCATAAACGTACACATACACACACTTTCACAGACATGAAATGCTTACAAATATACAAATAACAAATTATACATATAAAGGTATTAATAAATTATATAAACATATAGAAAAACCATAACAAAATGTGTGTCATTATTTAAATACTTGAAGCGGTTAATTGGTGAGCTTTAAGCTATTTTTGTGGAAATGAATTTTTATTGAAATCAATTGGTATTACATTTTTAAGGGTTTTGATTTTCAACTACTGCTGCTTGTTATAGTAAATTGTTGTATCTACTCCTTGACTAAAGTTTAAAGCAATCTCAACCCTTTTTGTATACGGATGCAGTCGACCTTTGCCAGCATCTGTCCACATATATGGTCTCCGTATCGAGTCTTCATCCTCGTATCTATGCGTTGTATAGCAATTTGCTGGCATTTGATACAAATGTTTTGCCACGGATTTATCCCGGCCATTTTGCATGCGCCTGAAAGCGACGGACGACAAGCGCTTATTTACGTTTAATTGCCAACGCAAATAAACCCGTACATGCATCGCATAACATATATACACATATATGTTAGACCCGGCCATAACAATGCCGGCAACAGCTTTTGCCACAATTGCTGCAATGCATGTTGCTGCCTTTTTTGTTTTTACTTGCATTGCAGGCGTTTTAAGTTGCCATTTATTGTGCAGTTTGTTGCAATTTAGTCGCGTCGAACCCCCATGTCCTGGCCCTCTGGGTCCTTGGGGCCGTTTCGTGGATCGAGGTTCGAGTTTCGAGTTTCGCTTCGCCTCGCATCGCGTGTTAAATTGCAAAAATAAATTGCGAATTGTGCGCCGCAAATAAATGGCAATAAAAATACATAAAATGCTTTTTTCGCTATGCCTAGCAATCGGCGAACGAGTTTGAATTACCAAACGCTGGCATAACTGCGATTCAGCTGATATAAATGGGCCCAAACGCATATATGTTTGTTAGTATGTGCATAATTATAGGCGATTGTGTGGAGTGTTGCATTTCACACGACTGCGCATAAATGGAGGGCGTTAAAATGTTTTTATTGTACGAATAAATATATATTCTCGTTTGATGCGCTTATTTTGCAACCAATCGCTTGTTTATTGGCTTGTATTTCATCCGACCCGTAAACCACTGGCCGAAGGCCGGATTTAGCCAGTACTTTAAGGATTGCCTACTGCTGAGAGTTGTGTAATCAATGGTTGGCAGGTTGAGATCGGATAAAGCTGATGCTTTCGGGGATAAGGCCTTCCGTTTTCGTCCTCAAAATGAATTTCACCACAATGGGAGCGGTGGCATTGTCCATTGGCCCTCTGCTAAGAGTCCTTAAAAAGGGTTCAGCCTTGCTATTTTTGTTTGCATCGTTTTTTGTGCAAACCAACTGAACAAATTAGGCAAACCTTTATTCGCCATTCCTCCTGCCATCGGATGCTCTCCGCAACATTTTTGTATGGATGCAGTCAAGTGCTTGAGCATTTTATTTAAGCGCATGAATGGATTTGATGGCTTTCCTTGGCTGAATGCGAATGTGCCCGAAAAAGGAGCAGAGCGAAAAAATATTTCAATTCATCTCATAAAATGCCTCAAAATTGTAGCGAAATTATAAAAATTGCCTGCCCCCAGACAACGAGCAATTTGGTTGGCTGCTTTTTGGCTGCTTTCCATGAATGCAACTTCGTTTTTCGCTGGTCCTTTTGGGCCACATTTGCTCATATGTAAAGTAAATTGTTGGCCGTATTTGGGGAGTCGGAGTGAGTGGCTGACTGGCTGGCTGGCTGGATTATGAAATCGTTATTTTTTTGTCGGGTAGTGAAACGATGCTATGCAAGTCATATCAGTTATCCGACCTCAAAAGTTTAAATTTGATATTACAATTTTTCAATTTTTATATACAATTCTTGGAAATTATCGTTCCTATATTCGATTTTAGTTTTTTACCAGTACACAAACTTAAACAAACCCCTTTGTTGATTTAATCATATACCTCTTATAAATTAAGTTTTTAAACTTTTTAATTAAGTAGTCTAAATATGATGCAAAACACATTTCAGAACATGGTTCCAAAAACGAAATATATTTTGTTAAGCCGACTTCTTTTTTTTATTTTTACTAAAACTGTTAGTTTGGACATGAACATTTTAGACCAGCTTATTGTAGGTTAAATCTTATTCGACTCAACTCAACTCATTTTCTAACTTTGGGTTTTTTCCTAATTTTATTTTCCGTTTTCATATGTGAAGTGGTTTTTTGCAAACAGCAGCCACCCAAAACGGGAATGAGCCTGACCAATTTCGGGGGCTGGTTTTGGCGCTTTTGGCAGACGCTGTTTTGCCTGCAGTAATTTCTTAATTAGCTTGCCAGCACAATGTGCTTATATACTATATAGTATGGTCTTTGTGTTTTTATACTAGAGTTTTGGCAACACTTTTTGTGGGCCCTGGGTTATGCGGCAATATGCTGTGGTGGTGCATCATTTGACGAAGCCAAGCGGCCGGGTACTTATTTTAATTGCAGCCTTTTTGGGCATGAAGTGGTGCAGCTTAGCGCACAGTTTCTACATATAAGTACGTAAATCCTATTTAGGGATGGCAAATAGATTAATACAAAAATATATTATTGCTATTAAGCTGCCTGAGTGGAATTAATATATACATTTGATTTAATGTATAAAAAATTTATTTAGAACCTTCAAATTTAAAACCCTAAACTATATTACCTTCTATTATTATTATGTTTTTGTTTTGTCTCAGTTTTATTATTCCTTTCCTCTTTTTATCATCACTAATCCTTATAGCTTTTTATGGACAAGGTCCTTGAAGAGAAAACTTAGTTTTGACAGCTCTAAGGACTCAATGTGTTTCCCTCGACATGTTTTCTGCCTCACCCGCCATTATGTTTATCTATTTTCGTTGACAGTTCAATTAAATACAATGGCCACAACAGTTAAATTTCGCTTAAAAAAAGGACTCGCACATACAAGGATTGCCATTTTTGTGGTTTGCTTTTTGCCGTTTGCTTTGGAGTGTCAGTTCGGACATTATGCCTGTCGCTCTTTGTACTTTATTATCCATTTAGCACATTTATTTTTATTTCCCATTCGGCGCCTGCTGTTGTGGTTGCTGCCAGTGTCCTCGCATTATCCTTGTTCCCGTTTCAGTCGTTACGGCCGCTGGTCAGCCCGCAAATGTGGGCAATTTTTGCTCAACGCGATGTTCCTTTTTTATGGACTTTATTTTTTACCAGTTGTGCGGTGTGATCCGGTGTAGTGTGAGTGTGTGTTTTAGTGCGTAGTTGTCGAGGGGGTGATGGCGACTCCCCTTCCCGCAGTTCCTGTCACTATAATAGGCTCATCAGCGTTGCGTATTTTTTATTGTAATGCCGCTTTTATTTGCAATTGAGGTGCTTTAATCAACTGACAGTTGTGTAGCTGCGTATATTTTATGGCTCTAAATGGCAGGCACATTAAATAAACAATATCAGTTCCTAACAATCATTACGTTTTACTTACTAAATTATGTGCATCAAGATGCATTACATTTTTAGTTTTTGTTTTACCAATTGTTAAATAAATGAATATGTTATTTAGAGGTATTTAAAAAAGAGGATAATTATTATAAAGCTTGGTTTTGTTAAATATTAAATGTTAGTTTGGTTGTTATTCATTTCATTATAATATTACAAAATAATAATAATATTAATCACAAGTACGTATTCGTGAGTAATTTAATTTACTTTAAGGTTTAATTTAAGCTAATGTAGATTTAAAAGTTTTAAAATATTTGGCAAATGAGTTTTCCTAGTGTCAAAGCCGAAAAAATTTCCCAGCTCCTCCGTTATTTCGCCGTTGCAAGATGATAAGCCGTTTAACTGGTAATTACGGCACACAGGCACTTACGGATGGAATGGCATTAGTTTCCAATTGCAGCGCCGCATCGCGCTCACAATAGCATAATCAAATTCCATCTCATTACGCGCCATATTGTTGTGAATTAATGCAATAACACAAACAATGTCTCGCTCGCATGGCGGCGACCTCGAATTTCAGCCGACTCCCGGCCAAATCGAGTAGAAAAGTGCAAATGCGGCAAGTCGCTGGCTAATTACGTGCACTTTGCCGCTCGAATTACAGCTCCTATCCACGGAGGCCACCGGAAGCGTCCTGTTTGCGAGGCGTCAACTGTCACACACTCGCAAACACTCGTTCGCAGGACGAACCGCTCTCAGCCAAACTCAAATCCAATTGAATAACAATAAAATTTGTACTCCGCTGTTTGGTTATTCGATGCCAGGCCATTGTGTGTGTTAGCCCCTGAATGGAGTGTACCTACAAATTATGTAGGCCGTGACGATTGCGAGCGCGGCATTGCGTAACAGGAAGCCAACAATGACGTACCAGAAGCAGTGCATATCCACATCCACAGCAAACGGATGTGCGCAGGATACAGTGTGTAAATGGTTGTAAAACGCTTTTCAAATCGCACCTCCTGACCCGCTGGTTGGCTCCAGCTGTTGTTATTGTCGCAGGGCCGTCGTGCTATTTAATGTCATTTAGCCTGCGGCTAAAATCAGCGCTAAGCGAAGCCCGCTTCAACCCACTTGGCTGCACTGCTACAAAATATTAAATACAACAGTTCGAATTTATGATAAAGCAAAAAATGGTGGTCAAAGAGATGGGCAAATTTTGTCCAATAATGGTTTAAAATATTTGTTAACAATTACTATTCATGGGTTATAACAATTACTAATGAGCATAAGAGATTTTGCATATATATTTTCGAATGAAGAACTTAATCCAGGGGCATGATGTAAAATACAATAAGAAGTCTAAGAAATTTATATTTGTTTTGGTTTAATATTACCAAGTATTTTTAAATAAAATTTAATGCTTTCAATATTTCAAACAAGATAAATAAAAATTGTTGTTTTAAAAATATAACTATTGATATAATATTAAATATATTATTTAGAAAATACATATTCTATAACCAATGCAATTTCAAATCATAACAGGCCAAAAAAAAAAAGGAAAATAAATATTAAAA